CACACACACACACACACACACACACACACACACACACACACACACACACACACACACACACACACATATATATACATATACACATATATATATAATGTGTGTGTTGTGTGAATATATATATATATATGTGAATCTTCTGTTTTGTTATGTTTGTCTATTTCTTGGAGAAACATGAAAATTTTGAAAGTTCAAGTTTCGGAAAATTTTTTTTTTATTTTTGAAACGCAGAATCTTTTCTTGCAACTTAGAGAATTTTTTTCTTTAAATTTAATATTTGCTCTCAGAAAAAAATCTTTAATAATTTTATTTTTATAATGCAAATTGTTGATAATCAATTAATCAACCAGCAATCAGTACGATATATATCCGTGTATATCGTTCATTTATATGCAATTATCAGTTTGTATAGAAAATCCTGTATTCTCTTGAATGATCAACTGAAAACTTAATATCTAAATATTAAGAGATTTTTCTTCGTGAATAGGAAACACAATAAAATAAACTTATTTCAAAAATTGTATTTTATTTAAAAATTCTCTAGTTTTACTTAAAATTTTGAACACAAATATCTGGAAAATTTAGGTATTTTGAAAAAATTTGAATAGACACTCTGTATTATTATCTTTAATATCTATTATTTTCTAATATTTTAAAAAATATTCTTGCTTTTCTTCTTCTATGATATTCCTCATCAATTTTATATTTTTTGATTCTATATTAATCCAAAAAATTAATTCAATAAAATATAAAAGTAAAAGTAAAAAGATTGCTTGTTTAGACACCTCTGGAACGCACATTTTTGCTTCATTGTTTTTGCAAAGATCTTCGAATAAGCATCGTAATTAGCTGAAATTATTGTGCTAAAATTGTATTAGCTAATTAATCATTTTTTTCATAAGCAAATACATTTCTAATAATTTCTATTTACAAATATGACATTTATAATTATTTTATTATATTACAAATGTTCTCGATATTTCCAAATACATATATTTTTGATATTCGTGAAATTTTAATTTTTTATTATTGTATATAACATTTCATGCTTATGAATACTTTTTTTTATTATCTTGATATGATTACACGAAAATTATCAAAGTTGCTCCGGGTACATATATCCATGTTCTATGTTTATGAGAAACAAATGTATATAATTTCTTTAAAAAAACATGTAATTTTTTAGAAATGTCAAAAATGATATATTGTACGATGACATATAAATGTTATAATGAAATATTAAGAATTATGCTTATTTTCAAAATAAATGTATTATTTTCATAAATAATCAAAATAAAAAGACAAAAAATAGATCTTGTTGATAATTTTAGATTGAATTTGTTACATAGCATAGCTAAAAAAATCCATATTCATTATTTGAATATAGATTATATTTGATTTTTATTATATTTACATGATACATAATATAAAGAATTTATTTAAAAAAAATTAATTTAACACATATTTCTCATTAGATTTGCTCAAAAATATATTTTAGTTTGTTTATTTCTGCTTTTTCAAGCATACATATGCACCCACCCACTCACTCCCCCCCCCCACCACACACATACGCGCGCGCGTGTGAGCATGTGTGTACGTGAGCGTGTGCGTGTGATGTGTGTGATGGTGTGTGTATGTATGTATGTGTGGGGGAGTGAGTGGGTGGGTGCATATGTATGCTTGAAAAAGCAGAAATAAACAAACTAAAATATATTTTTGAGCAAATCTAATGAGAAATATGTGTTAAATTAATTTTTTTAAAATAAATTCTTTATATTATGTATCATATAAATATAATAAAAATCAAATATAATCTATATTCAAATAATGAATATGGATTTTTTTAGTTATGTTATGTAAAAAAATTTAATCTAAAATTATCAACAAGAACTATTTTTTAAATTAAATTTATAATGAAATCCAAATACGCAATAAAAGGCTGAAATCTAAATTAATAACGAGTATATGCGTATGTACAAACTAACGATATACTAATTTTTTTAATAATTAATTTTAACAATTAATTTTTAATTTGTATAATTAATAAGAAGAAATGTATATTATATTAAATGTATCTAAGAATCTCTAGAATTGTGATCCAAATAATGATGCACCTTCCTCATATGAGACTGTATACATTAGAAATGTACAGATTACCTCAACTGTTGGATTTAGGCATGGTTCCGATTCCTGAAAAGACGAATCTGCGTTTTCATATCTCCGCAATGTTCCCTTTTTGCTGTAACACTTGCATAGCCGGCTGAATAACGATCTATTCTTCGTCTTCATTTCGATAGCTCACCTTGATATTACCCTTGACCTTGATCTTTCTTTTACACTTTTTTAACGAAAACGGCACTCTTGCGACTGGCCCTTGCAAATTACTACTGTCTGATTATTGACTGTGCGAAAACAATGTCAAGAGGTATCTGATCCTGAACAAACTCTTGTGAAATAATTTTATCCGACGCGTTATTAGCGCCATCTGAAGGTGTTCATCTTTTGAAATACACTACGTAAATCGAAAATCAATATCATTCAACATCAATTACATTGCTAAGATTTTAAACTTCTTGATTGCACAAGAAAGAAATTTAATGTAATATGGAATTAAAGAAGAAATATTTAAAGGGAATTAAAATAAGGAAAAATAAGATATAACAGGAATATGTTATGTATTTGATGACAAGAGTTCTGATAATAAGTTTCTCAGAAAATTGCCTACAATATAATTTTATTGTTGAAATTGGTTTTTTTTGGAGAAACAAAAGATTCGCTAGTTGTAAGTATTTGACTTTATAATGCATTCATTAAGAAAATTCGAATATTCTATCATATGTTCCTTGCAAGATTATTTTACGTTTGAGTAAATATTCCCTCATCATAACTTTCTGACTCGAAATTTAAACATTTCGCATTATTACTACTATTCGCGTTATTATTAGAATAAATTTATATATTTTTTTGTCATAATGTTAAAGATATTAGAGATATTAAAAGACTTTCGATAAAAATATATATTTTCATGTTTATGCAAACGTGTTATGAAGCGATTTAACAGCAGAATCTGGAAATTATAAGTAGAACAAACTGGTTTCTTTCTTGATCAGTAAAAGAAAAAATATAGACTTGCGCCATGTATTGAAAACAAACTATCTAATAAAACATCATATCTTTGGATAGTTCTATAAATTATCGTATCTTTATAGCAATAAAGCATTTGCGTTTAAAAATGGGACAGTTTATTTAGCTCTAAAATTTTTTGTTATATGTAAATAACTGAAGAATTTCAAGGAAATATAAAAAAAGTAGATTAAAAATAAAAAAGTAGATTCAAGGGGAACATAAATGATGAATCGTTATGTAGCAGTCTAGATTAAAAGTAATAAAGACAAAAATGTTATGTAAAATACTTTAGATTATAAAGATCGAAATTTATCGAAATGAATGTGATGTTGATTATAATCTTGTTTTTATGAGACAAATTAGATAACGGAATCGGTTTCGATAATCTCCTTTCAGGAGTCTAACTTTTCAGAATATAACAGAAATCATAGTATGATTATCGCAAGTTATTTTAGAAATATAGATCTCTTTTGCATTATGAGATATCAAATATCTTTTCATATTATTATAAAGTAAAGTATGCATGTTACATACTTTTTATTATTAAGAAAATCGATCTATTACATTTTTCTTTTACGGGATATGTTAAAAATAAATCAGAGTTTTACACAAAAACTAGTACTTACGCAACGAGGATCAAGGGTGCCGAGAAAGGAGGGAGGGATCACCGACTCACCGATTGGTCAATGTGCTCCCATTTCTCCCCAACATAGTCCCAAACTTGTTCGGTCATTGTCCGTGAGAAAAAGAAGAAATGAGCACGAAAACGTGATATGACAAATATCGATGGAAGTCGTGATTAGCAACAAGCAATCATGACACTCTCAAGATCACTGTGGGGTTACATCATTTGCACCGATGTTCACGGTTGCAAATATAGCCAAGTGTGATCTTCGAATATATATATGTATCTCGTTCTTGAATGTGGTTCTATAGAGGTATGCCTTGACCGCGTGTGCGATTTTCACAGAGTATTTTGGGCGAGCAGTGAACAGTGATGGAATTTAATATCTCGTAAGAAAGATTTGAATTTATTCTATTATATTATACAGTATTCCAATTTTTCTAATTTCTTCTGGATGCGAAAATGATACTGAAAATAGAAGATAAATGTATAAATATGTGTTTTTCTCATACTATTTTTAAACATCGGTTTGAAGATCATAATTTATAAATTCCAAACCTCATCATAATTTTGAGACATGAAAGTAATACTATGAAAGATAAATTCTTAGACACGACGATGCCTTCTCTAATACCAGTCCGAAGATCATGATTCAAACATTTTAAAATTCAAGCAATAAGAACAAAGGTCTTAGTTCAACAAATCGTTTCAGAGATACGATCATCCGGAGATAATCGATGAGATCCAAGGTCTTGTAAATAGAAGATGGAAGTTTATTTTCAATGCATATTCACAAATAATATGAACTAATTCTGATATACGCGTTTTGCTTCAAAGTTCGAGAAATACTCACTCATTTATATACTTATATTATATACTATATATTATATACTTTCACTCATTTATATGTATTTGTAATCGAAACCAAATGAGCTGTTTTTAAATTTTAAATGATGATCTCAAATATTTCTTGAATACTGCATTTTAGAAAAAAATATTTCAGACAAAAGTTTAATGATATTAAGGGGAACATAAGAGAATGTCATTGGTTTAACCTTAGAATTATTTGAAGTTTGTTATTCACATAAAGATTACCTTTAATTTTTTAAATAAAAACCTTTATTTTCTATTGTATATGTAGATTATCTCGAAAGCTTTTCAAAACACTATAATAAAATATTTTTTCATTAAGTATCTTCTGAGTTATGAAGATCGAATATACAATTAGATATAAAGTCAATAAGACATAAAATATCTCGTAAACTACTCATTTTTGGCAACTGCATCTTAATACTTTTATGTATAAAATAATGAGATAAATCAATTCATATAAAAAAAAACGCAAGTTCGAAAAAATTATGAGATTGTAATACACAACTATGTATCTTTTTTGAAAAACAAATCTTTTGTGTGTGTGTGTGTGTGTGTGTGTGTATCTATGCGTGCGTACGTGCGTGCGTGCGTATATTTCGATATTAAAACGAAGTGAATTTCTTACTAATATTTGAATTCTGAGGGATAATTAAAGACAATACAATTTCATTGAAACTAATTTCGGCTTATTTATGGTAACAATTATATTTTTGATACGAAATATTGTTTTTATTCTTTTATATATTCATAAAAAATTTGGCTTTAGAAATTTTATTAATTTTATATATCTTCCATTGTGGTTAGAAGTTGCTCAGATTTCTTTTAATTATTTTTTTATTTTATATATGTTCCTTTCATCAAGGAGAACTTTTTAATTATTATCTATATTAAATATTAAAAAATTGTTTAACCTTGAATCGTTTGTTCACGTAATTTTGTCGCGTTACAACTGACTGTGAGCTAAATATGTCAGCAATAGGAAGTCAGGATGGCCGAGCGGTCTAAGGCGCTGCGTTCAGGTCGCAGTCCACTTCTGTGGGCGTGGGTTCGAATCCCACTTCTGACAATTTTTTTTAAACTAAGAAATAGGAATAATGTTTTAGATAAAAAATGATATATATTTAATTTTTATGCAAAAAAAATAAATTATATAAATTTATATTGAACGAACGCACGCACGCACGCCCGCGCACGCACGCACGCACGCACGCACGCACGCACGCACGCACGCACGCACGCACGCACGCACGCACGCACGCACGCACGCACACACGCACACACACACACACACACACACACACACACACACACACACACACACACACACA